AAGAGATATACAATAGTATCTGTTTAACGGAGCAACATTATATTCTATTGTTTGTATTCAATCAAAATCCTAATGTGTAGTATTCTTTATCGAGTTCTTCGTGTATGTCGAGTTTCGTAAAGCCTTCATAATCAATAACTTGTTTAAATTTAAACAGTTAACGCGTATGCGCTTATTTAATTGATCGATGCTATTAGGAGTGTTTCATGTTTGATAAACACATTGGACGTCATATGCGCACATGCGCAGTTTAATGGTTCGGCAGCAAGCAGCCAGTGGGATTATTGTTCGTACAACATACGCACGCAGACGTGTACGTTACACACGCACGCGAACGCACGGCAGCGCACAGCGCACACCATGCACGCACGTGTACGTGCACACGTCACGCACAGCACGCATGGCACGCACGCACGCACGCAGAGTCTGCACGGGACATAGTTGCGTGCAGCGACGGCACGCACGCGATGCACAGCACGGTACGTGCAACACGCACGCACGCACGGCAGAATCACCATGTGTACGTGCATATGCAGGTACGCACGCGTCGGCACGTGTACATCCAAACGCGACGCACGCACGGCACGCTGGGCATGGCACACACGCTGTATACCTGCCACAAAGCACTCGTCTACTGGCTGACCGTGATCTAGCGCGCTGTCAAGTGCACACGCACGCACGCAGCCCCTCATCAGGACACTCAGCACTCGCACGTTGTGACTACACACGCCACGCACCGACGCGCGCACTGGGTGCACACGCACACATGCAACGCAGTGTGTACGCAACGCACGCACGTATACGTTGCACACGGCACCAACGAGACGCATGCACGCACGTTTACGTACACTACGCACGGCACGCATGCATGCACCACAGGTGTACGTGCACTACGCACGCACGCGACGTCTACGTGCACAATGCATGCATGCAGCGCACAGCAGCGTGTATCCTGTACACACACGGTCCACGTCGCACGGAAAGACGCAACTCATGCACACACGTGACCTGCACACACGCACGCACGTACACACACACGCATGCACGCACGTGTACGTGCACGCGCACGCACATACGCACGCACGTGTGACGTGCACAACGCTACGCACGCACGTGTACGTGCACATCCGAAACGCCACGAAGCAGTGTACGTGCACGACGCAGCGCACGCACGTGTACGTGACACGAACGCTGCACAACGTGACGTGCGACACGCACGCACGCGACGCACGCACACGCACGGCACGCACGCACGTGTACGTGCACACGCATGCACTGCGAGCACGCACGTGACGGTGCACTACATAACAGCGGGCTTTCTATCAGAACATGTGCGTCATTCATCGCTGTATGTCAAGCAGCACGCTGTCGCTTCTGCCAACCATGACACATAACAAATACCACGTGACCTGATCTAATGACGTCACGTGAAACACTCCTATAAACTTTTTATGCATGAATCATAACTTCTGAGTGTTTAAATAAACACGCAGATATTCGATCGGGCATCCAAAAATAACCCAGAAAGAGCCATACCTAACATGCATATGTCATAAACATCCGCAAATTTGGTACGCAGCACTGAGCTTAATTGAGCTTAATGTGCGTCAATTAAACGCATTAACCATTTAAATTTATAAATAAACTGACTGTTGGAAATCGACTCCCGCGCCCCATAAATACCCCTAGTAAACTATGTGATAACATGACTATTAAAGTGTTCAGGGTTAAGATTACACAATTTTCCCGGATAATTCGCGGAAAATCGGCAAATAGGGACGTGCCGCGTTAAAAAAAGTTTCCAGACCAACAAAAAATTTGTTAACTTTTTTTTTTAGGTTTTATTTGGCACCGAATAAACAAACACATATAGTGAAGAATCCAGCGTTGTTTCACTCGGATTTCCGCGGTAGAGGCCTTTTTTGCCGACTTTATGACTGGACTAATACTGCGTTTGTCTTTCGCTGGTGGGCGTTCAGCATTCGTTCTCCGAGCATATCTCGTTCGTCGAGCGCACTGGACCAACGCTATGCATTCGTTGTCATTCGCTTGTGTGCAGTCGAGATTTTTGTGCATGCACAAAAATGTACGCGGAGCTCGACGCATGAATGAACACCGCCAGAAGGACGCCATGCCACGCAACGAGAGGAAGCGCGCTGGACCGAAGCGCCCAGACACCACGCGGAGCAACGCTGGCGTATTCGTTGTATGTTCGTCGGCTGAGGTGTAGCGAACATGCTAGCGCACACCTAGGCGCACACCTTAGCGTGCTTTCTGACGCATATATACCAGCGAACATGCAGCGAGATATGAGGCGTGCTAAATCGAGTGCTAAACCGAGTCTGGTAGCGCGCCCAGCGTTCTTCTAGTCGTGTTGCTAGCGTGTACGCAGCATGTAGCCATGGGATTATAAACGCGGTCCCGCTCCCCACCCTCCTCATCATTCACTTCGTCCAGCCCGACTCTCAAGCTGAGGTGATGACAGAGGTTCCTGCTGATCGTGTCTTAGAAGCAACACGCTCAGAAGATGCGAGGCATCCCGACATGCTGCGACTACAATATGAAATTCGCCGGTTCTCCAACATCAGCAGACTACCTCATGGATGAATTGGCACTTCAACCAAGTCCTATGTATTCCAGGAGAATGCGAGAAAGAGAAGAGGTCAACGGAGGTTCTGGGTCCGACCGTGGATCGGTAGGCGACGACAGTTTGGCCTGTATGACCAGCTTCTTGTTGAACTCCGGAACGAAAACCAGGCAGCCTTCAAGAACTTCATGCGAATGCCCCCCGAAATGTTCGACCAGCTGCTAACCAGAATGGGTCCGAGGATCACCAAGCAGAATATAACCTACAGAGAGGCCATCGGCCCTGGCCAGAAGCTTGCCCTCACTCTGCGGCATCTTGACTCTGTGACCAATTATCACTCAATGTCCTATGGGTGGAGGGTGCCTCACAACACCATATCCTTGACCTGTTCGTTCGCTGACCTGACCGTTCGCTGGCTGTGCGTTGAATGCGCGGTGCATGCGCGGACCATTCGTTCCGTGCGCTAGCAACACGCTGTGCATTCGTTGGATTTTTTAACATGGAATTTTTGGATTTTTATACGCTGTATGCGTCCTGTATACGCGCAGCGCGCTAGCAACACGCTGTGCATTCGTTGTCAACTCGCTACCTTCTCCAAAATCCTGACAAAAGTTGGGCGCACAACGACGCACTGATCTTATTTTCCATTTTTTGATTAATTTTCAATGCGTGGGCCGTGCGTCGCGTATGTGTGACTGGTCCATTACTTTGCTTATGTTATTGTACATGTCTTTATTGTTTGTTTTTGTTGTTATAAGCACCTTGATTGTCACTATTATGTCCTGATAATAGGGAAGCTGGTGGTCGTTCAGATATTGAAAGTATACCTATAACGTTAACAGAAGGATATATAGAAGATTTAATAATAAATATTAGTGTGACAGGTAACAATAGTACGGACCGGGCAGTAGGAATGAACACGCGTGCTGATAATAATTATGATCACAGTTATGGGAAATGTTTCACGTGCTGTATCTCTATAGGAGGTGGAGGGACGGCAGGATGTGTGCTCGCTAGCCGTCTGTCTGAGGATCCTGATGTGAAGGTACTGTTGGTGGAGGCAGGAGGAGAACCAGAGCGTACCAAGGACATAGATATACCAGCTGCGTTTGGTTTTCTGAGAAACACGAAGATTGACTGGAGCTATATGACAGTGCCGCAGAAATTCTCCTGCCAGGCCTGCGAGAACAAGGTAGCTTCGGCGTGTGTTCGCCCATATTAGCCTAGATTGCTTATATTCTCATTGAAATTGCACTATAGTAGGCCTATATATAGATATCCACGACATATAATGTGACATGAATCCGGCATAAATGAAAATCCATGAATCTTACACACTGAACTGCTTTGCTATCCGAAGTTGTTGTCGCGATGATTTTGATTCGATGACTGCAGTCATTTGATATGAATTGTGTTCGAGTGTAATCTATATAATAATTTGAGTAGTGTCGTTCTGTTTGTTCCTGCATATCTTCTAGGCGCGTGCACGAATCCGGTTCAAAATTTTCGTGCTTCATTCCTACGCATCAGGTTCGATTCTAACACTTTGCTTTTTGTTCATTTTAATTGGGTTATATGTTTAAAAAAAAACATATTAGAAAATATAATGGAAAATCTCCCTGGGAAAACATGCAGCGCGATTCAGATTCACTTCCGCTAGGTGTGCGCTGGCTGTAGACTTACAAACACGCAACCGCAGGCTAAGGATACAGTAGTCTGTCGCGTAAACCTTGCGGTGGATTCGCCAGGGCACACGACGCCGCTGGCTGTGGAATCAAGTTCTCTCCGCACCTGCAACGCTCGCACTGTCGCATGCAGCGCATATCTATCTATCAATCTATCTATTTTACTATCTATTCTATCTATCTCTATCTTATATATCTATCTATCTACTATTTATCTATCTATCTATCTATCCATTCATCAAAATGTGAACCTGTGACCCTTGACCTTGGGTGAAAGGCACTCAAAATCAATAGGTTCCACCTAAGTTATTCACCAAGCTTTGAAGTTCTACTTCTAACGGTTGCAAAATATCGAGCAGACAGACAGACACACACGCACGCGCACGCGCACGCGCACGCACACGCACAACGCACACGCACACGCACACGCACACGCACACCACACCACACACAGCACACACACCACACACGCACACGCACGCACACAAACGGCGCGAAACCAATACGTTCCGCTACACTAACGTCAGGAGGATATAAACTACTAAATTACTGCGAAGCGTTTGCCTACATTTTTCAAGAATCAAACCCGTTAGTTAGAAAACTGACGGCAAAAGACAAATAATTGTATTAAGCTGGTTTCGTATTAACATCACTTCACATATATTAACCCGCGAATTAACAAACAAGGTGCGTACAAGATATTTTATATAGGTTTATATGGCGATAATTAAGAACTTTAGTAGGCCGTAAATTGTTCACAAATAGATACAATTACTGCAAAGCCTAAACTCCTCATTCAATTATTACAATTCATTACTACAGTCGCACCCCATTAGTACGAAACTGACTGGGCCAAAGAAAAAATAATCGTATTAAGCGGGTTCCGATATATGTATTATTAGGCTTTAATTTGAAAAGAAAAACAATGGATTAGAAGGTGTGTACAAAGTGTTTTATATAGACAATGAATATACCGGGACAGAAAAATGTCATGTTAGTAAACAGGATTCTTGTAATTATTGTCTTAATTCAAATATTTTACTAAAAGATTACTATGAATCGGGCCAGGATTTGAGAAATCATCGTAGTCTCATCAGCGTAACCGACGAATATGGCCGCCGGAGGCGGCCATTTGCGAGTGTATTTAAATTGTATAGCAAATCATGTGGCGAAGAGGAAAAGTACTCGGTGGCAGGCAGTTGGTTTAACGACCATCGGTATACATCCGAGGTGCACCGGCAAGTTGTACGGAGTAGATGGGAA